GATCGTGCTCGATGCTGTCCTCGGAGCCCTCGCCGCGGCGACGAGGCAAAGGGTTCGTTCCTGGAAGCGCCGCGCCGTGGTCCACCGAGTAAAGAGGGTCGGAAATACTGCTGCTTGGACCCACGGCGGCGCCAGCGCGCCCACGACCTGAAATAGGTGGCGACCCCGTCGGCTTTGTCGCGCAGGCGCGCGCTCCTCCGCGCGGCCGAAGATGACGGCGCGGCGGCGTCGATCCTCCACCTCCCACCTCTGGAGCTTCATTATCATCCGCATTGCGGGCTCTGGGGCCAGGCGAGCAGCCAAGAATGCGCGCGCCATGCGCTGGCAGTCCTTCCGCCATGCGGTGTCCTGGGCGATGGGCCGGTCGCCGGCGAGGCGCCAACGTCGCAGGCCCTCCGCGGTGGCCTGGTGCTGCTGGAGCTGTGTGTCAGCCTGGGCCTAAGTTGAGACGAAGCCGCGCTTGTGCCAATCGTTCCATGCGAGGCGTGAGTACTCGAGTGGAGGGATGCGCAGTGCCTCCCGCAAACGTTCGACGTCCGCCATCAAGCGCGCCCGGGGGGCGCAATCACCATCGAACTGCACCGCCGGGATTTTGGCTGCCAGGGCATGCCGCTGGATACTGTTCAAGGAGATCGGAAAGTTTCCCGGAGAGCCCACACGTCCTCCGCGATCGTCAATTCGCCCGGGCCCTTGGCCGCCGGCCGCAGGGACTGGCTGGCCGAGGCAACGAGACGCGCGGGGGGCGTCCCTCGCTGTCCCGCGTATTCCAGAGCCAGCACGACGAACGTGTTGTAGACCCTCGTGGTTCAATGCGATCCCAACGGATGGTCCTGCCACGTATACGACCGGCTTACATAAATGTGCTGAATTTTGCGCCGCGAAGAATCACCCTTGCCCGGGCCCATCTGGAAGCCTTGAAATTTGCTGCTAGAGCACGCGGGCATGGCGGCCCACGCACGGACCTCACCCGCTTTCCTGCGTTCGGAAGCCTCGAAAGTGACTGCGTTGAAGGGTTCACGGAGCACGTGATCATGTTGGGGCTGGGGCCAGATCTCGTCTCAAAGGTCTCAAATGTGGAAGCCAGGCCTAGTGCGGCCTTCCAGAAATCCCAGAGTGCCAGCGCCGTGTCGCCCGCGTAGGCCCTCGTGAAAACATCTGGCGAACCCTCCTCGATATCGCCCAGGAGAAGCTCGGCCGCGACAGCGTAGATACGAGGGCTGAAAGGGCACCTCTGAGGCACTCCCGACGCCATGTTGAAACCGTCGAAGATCTGCCCCTTCACGGAGATGTTGCACTGACATTTTTTGCACAGACTCTGAAAGGCGTCGACAACGTTCGTGAGGGCCCCGATGCGCACCAAGCATTCGCGGACGTATTGCTGCGAAGCGCAGGAAACGCAGCCGCAAAATCGAAGAACACAGCTGCTGAGTCTTTCTCTTTCGGACGAAACTGCCCAGGTGCTCCTCCCGGCGCAAAATCTCATAGCATTCGCGACCAGCCTATTGTCGCAATTCACGATGGAAAGCGGTCGGGTGCCCACGGCCCTCGAGTAAGTCCCCATCTCGAGGTCCTCCCCGCTGGGGGCTTTCGGCGAGCAAACCAGCGTGCCCAGGTTGTATCCGTGCGCGCCGCTCTCACTCTCGTCTGCGTGCGCCTGCTGGAGCGCCTCCGGCGCGGCCTCGCCCTCCAACTGCCTGAGACCCCCCGTCCTTTGATGGCTCTACGCGCTGCCAAAGGTATATAAAGGTATCCCGTCTGGGCCAGGCGACATCTTGCCGGCAGAGCGGATTGCCCGCTCGACATCGCTCCGGCGGACCCGCCATTCCCAAGCTTCGCTCGGCACGGCTTGCCGGGGGCGCCTGCGTCTCCGTAGAGGGTCCCCTGGGTGCACCTCTGGCGCCTGTTCCTGCTCGCCAGGCCGCAGGGGGCCGAGCTATTCTCGAATGTCCCCCAAGTCCACCAGCGGAGCCCGGGAAATCCGCTCCCAGTGCACGCGGAGAGTTTTCATCTCATCTGCTCTGTCGGTCACGTCCCCGCTTTCGGTCTGCATGGCTGCCACTGTCGTGCTGCCGCCAGGCAGGAGCCGCCTCAGTTCGGCAAGTGCGTTGGCTTTGACATGTGGGCGGTCGCTTCGAACACCCCTCACTCTTCTAGATCCTCGATCTCGTCCGTCACCGCCTGTCGTGCCAGCTGTGCCGCCAAGCTCTTGAACTGCCAGAGCCCCAGCTTGCTCCGTGCCTCTGGTTCTTCTGGGTTGACGTAGTCGCCAAGGGCGGGATGTGCTCTGGCGCAGCGCCGCATGCTCGTGAGGTGGACGCCTTCTGGCGGCCCTGACGAACCTGAACGCGCCACCCACTTCGTCGTCGGTGTCGTCTGCCCGGGCCTCGTCCTCGGCGAGCCGCAGGCCCTTGGAAATCGTGTGCGTGGCCCGCTTGACCAAAACCAGCTGCCTGCCTAGCAGAGGTTGCGGCGTGCGGATCGGAGGCTAGGCGAGAATGAGCTTCAGGGCAATCCGTCCCTCGAAATCATGGTGCTCTGTGGCACGAGCAGTGATGGTCGCACCGGCGCGTCGATTAGCAGCGGGAGAGGATCGGCTGAAAGACAGAGCCCTGTGCGCTGACATATTCGTCGCTGGAAGCACATAGCTAACATAATGCCTGTCCAATTGGTCCGCCAGAGCGTGATTCGCGTGAGCGCGGTCCAACCGTGATCTCGCGAGGCCGCACTCGTGAGTAAAGACTGGCTGGTGGAGTTCGTGGAAGCCCTTCTGGCCGCAGAACAAGCCGTGGAAGGACTTAGCCTCCGCCTGTTCAGCGTCCCCAGACCATGCGCCGTCAAACTTCGACCAACCATCGCGTCGGTCCAGAAAGAAGTTGAAATTCCGGACCACGATGCTCAGAACACGGTCTGGTGGTTCCACGTGCTGGGCCAGACGTGTCAACGCGGACAGCCGAGCGGCCCGGTTGTCCGGGGCAGAGCCTCAACGCCAAGTAGACAACAAATACTTCAAGCGCATCGTTGGGCGCTCGCACCGACAACTTTGCCGCGCGGCCAGCCTGGATCCCGACGCGTTCCATAAACTCAGGCTTCAACAGCAGACTGATGCCTGTCTGGGAGTGGAGCCATGTGACCAGAACGAGCAGCCACCCGAGAGGGCTCTGGACGTCAATACCTTCCCGGGGGTGCTGTGAGTCTCCGCCAGGCCTATGAAGCCCCGCTGCGCGAAGAGCTCGTCTGCGCAGCACTGCTTGGCGTGCTGTAGTTCGGCCACGCCCGCGAAAGATGCCCGGGAATTCCAGATCTCACCAGTGTAATCCCCGATGCAGGGCCCGTGCACTAGTGGGAGTGCCAAGTCACGACGTTCCGGCACATGGGCAGTCAGGCGGCCCCCGTCCGGCCCCGAGCTGTCAGGACGTCTACGGTGCTTCCCGCGCGCTGGTTCTGTATACGAGCCCCGTTCTGCTGGAGGCTGCAGTGCCGTCGGATGCGTTGGTGCTGCTGCCAGTGGAGCTTCTGGGTCATAAATGGTGAGGAAGTGTAAAGCGACACGCCCGGCTCGCCATTTTAACCGGCCTAGGAATTATTCATCAGAAAAGGAACTGAGGAGGAGGAGGAGGAGGAGGAGGAGGAGGAGGAGGAGGAGGAGGAGCGCAAGTGACCCAACACTAAGGGGACGAAACGGTCAAGAGTTCGATTGAGGTCGACAGATAATCATCCCTGAGCACTGAATTTTGTCGGAGTTTCCTGGCACACGAAAAGATCGTGGGACGATGAGGAGGAGGGGGAGGAGGCCGAGGAGGAGGAAGAGGAGGAGGAGGAGGCGGAGGAGGGCTTCGACGCTACGAGCTTCGCTCGAAGCTTGCCCAACGCAAAAAAAGGCGGCGGAGGAGGAGTAGGAGTAAGCGCAGGAGCAGGAGCAGGAGCAGGAGGAGGAGGAGGAGGAGGAGGAGGAGGAGGAGGAGGAGGAGGAGGAGGAGGAGGAGTAGGAGTAGGCAGGAGCAGGAGGAGGAGGAGGAGGAGGAGGAGGAGGAGGAGGAGGAGGAGGAGGAGGAGGAGGAGGAGTGTGTTCCCCCCCCCCTCCCCCCTCTGGGGCCATTCGCCCCTGCCGCAGCCGCTGACTCTCTTGCTCCCGCCGTCGGGCGCTCCTCGAGGCCCCCAACTGGGCGGGCGCCCTGCTGGCAGGGGCCGCCTCCGCCGTCTTCGTGCACCGTGCCGTGCGTCAGTCTCCGAGCATTGGTACGGTGCTGCAGACAAGAGATCGGATGACGGACACGGTGAGTATGATGATGATGATGATGATGATGATGATGATGATGATGATGATGATGATGGTGGTGGTGGTGGTGGTGATGATGATGATACTGATACTGATAATGATGATATGTTGATGATGCTGATAATGATAATGATAATGATGATGATGCTGCTGATGATGATGATGATAACGTTTATGATGATGATGATGACGATGCTGATCATGCTGATGATGATGATGCTGATGATACTGATGATGATGACGCTGATGATGAGGATGCGGCTGTCGATGATGATGTTGATGATGATGGCGATCCTGATGATGAGGATGATGCTGAATATTATTATACTGATGATGCTGTTGATGTTGATGATGCTGATGATAATGATGCTGATCATGATTATGATGATGATTATGATGTTGTTGTTGCCGCTGTTGCTGATGATGATGTCGACGCCGAGTATGATGGTAATGCTGAAGATGATGGTGTTGCTGATGGTGGTTATGATGACGATGATAGTGATGATGCCGACGGCGACTATGATGATGCTGCTGATGATGATGGTGATGATGATGCTGATGATGCTTCTGAAGATGATGAGGATGATGATGCGGAGGTCGGAGCCCACCCACTCACCGCGTTGGTGCGCCTATGCTCTATCTGAGACGTCCTTCCAGCCCTTGATGTCAGCCATTGAAGTTTCAGCAATCTCGGGGTAGGCAATGCTCCCGACTGATAAAGCCGTCAAGGACCTTTGCCGCTCGCGACGACCAATTCCGCCGTGTCTGCCTCGGTGGCCAAGGGCTTTCCATCAGAGCCATCCGTTGTGTGCAAATACTCCAGACGCTTGGACTCGAGCTCGAACAAAAATATTAAAGACTTCTTCCGCTGCTCTGGAAGTAGCATCATCGCGACATCCCAAGCGAGCAACGCAACTGGAACCGCCAAGGTTGGACGCAGGACTTGGGACAGAACAGTTCGGTCGACCATATTCAGTGCACACAGTGCCAAAAACGAACAAGCCACCAAGAGAGACGAGAAACACGCAGCGAGCAACCGGTCGTTGCTCCTATCGATGTGGGGACTCAGGTTAACGAGGAGCATCAGCGCGGTTGCGCAGGTGCCCATGCCGACCACGGCTTTATTCAGAGTGCCAGTCACTGCGGCAACGTATCCGAACGCTGTGGTCATGATCTTCAGCATGAGCTCGAAAGAAACGAACGCGGGGTCGTACTTTTGAAAGAAGCCCAAGCCGCAGAGCACGGGCTCCCTACCCTCGCGCTGCCAACGCAGAAGCAACAAACGCACGCGAAGACTTGCCTGCAACGCTTGCAACCGCTCCGCGTCGGCAGCAGCCGCATCGGCGAGGTCATCTGCGAGCTGGGAAGCGGTCGGCCCACTGAGGCTCAGTCGCAAAATCGCCCAATCGCGGCCTCCACTGGCACGCTGAAGCGAGGCGGCACTGTCCCCATGATTTGCTAAGTCCGCCACCGTGCCGACAGGCACGAGTTGAAGTGCCCTCAGGTCCCTTGTAGTCCTCGGTCCTCAGTCATCAAGATTGAAGATTAATATTCAGGGACCCAGATCCGGACTTCGCACATGTCTTGGGGGTCGCAGCGTACCTCCCGCGGTTCCGCAGCGCTTCCCGCATGACTTTTTCGAAGCCACTCACACCCCAAAACAGGCCAAGGGGGCCCCGACAGGCCTCTGACCTGCAACCCAGGCGCAGTGGCGGGATAGGCCGAAGGCCAATCGCCCCCTGTGGTCTTGCCACAGGGTGCACGGCGTGCTGAACTTTTGCTTGTTTTTGGTTCTTTTTGGCCACTGTGCTTTCTCGGCCCAACCAACCGGCCACCAGAAGAGCGCGTTGATTCCCACCAAATCTTTCCAATACGTCCTTGGTGGTCTCCAAGCCGGCCAAGATGGCCCAATATGGTCTCTAAGGTGCTTCCAAGACGGCCGAGCTGGCCCCAAACAGAGCGTAAGATAACTCCAATATGGTCCAAGAGAGCCCGAAGACGGCCCAAGAAGCGCTCTAGAGGCCCCTAAGACTGCCCAGGAAATCTCCAAGAAATCCTTCAGGAGGGCCAGAAGAAGCAGACGTAATTGAGTTTCCTTGGGTTCCTGAAGGATTTGGGCATTTGCTTACTTTCGACCGTCCGGCGGCCCAAGACGGCCCAAGAGGCTCCCAAGATCGCCCACGAGGCCTTCAATATGGCCCCACGACGGGCCAGGACGGCCCAAGAGGCCTCCAAGACGCCCAAGATGGCATTCAAGACGGGCTTTAAGCGACCCTAGAGAGCCCAAGATAGCCCAAAGACGGCCTCCAAGAGGGTCTCAAGATGCCTCTAAGGCCGCCAAGATGGTCCAAGAGAATCCCAAGAAGTCTCAAAGACTGCCTAAGAGGCCTCCAAGAGGTCCTCCAGGAAGGCCCAAACAGGCAAACGTCATTTCCCTTAGGATGTTTAAACAGATTGTAGTATTTGCTTATTTTCGGCCTTCCGATGTCCCAAGAGGCCCCCAAGATCGCCCAAGAGGCCTTTAAGATGGCCCCTCGACGGCCCAATATGCACCCAAGACGGCCCCAAGAGGAACCCAAGATGGCAAAAGAGGCCTCCAAAACTCTCAAGATGGCCACCAAAACGGCTCTGAGGCGCCCCAAGAGGGCCCCAAGACGGCCCGAGAGGACCCCACGGCGGCCCAGAGGCTCCCAAAACGGCTTCCCATGGCGACTGCCGAACGGGCGCCCAAGAAGCCCCCAAAGGCCCCCAGGAGGCCCAAGGAGGTACCCAAAAGGCTTCCAAGAGGCCCCCAGGACCCCCCCCCCCCAGGAGGCACGAATAATGAAGCTCTCCAAACGTCTCCTCATCCTTCTCCTCATCCTACTTTCTCCTCATCCTCCTCATCCTCCTCTTCCCCCCATGTGTTCCCTGACATGCTTCCAAAAAGCTGGGGAAACGCAGGTCCAATAGTGTGGCAAAACGTTGCCCTGACGTTTGGCCACGTGGGCGTATCTTGAAAAAGGCAGGGGGCGGCAGTGATTCGCCGTAGGCGCCTTCGATCCGCCGCCCCCTGTGGCTTGCCACAGGGGTGCACGGTGTGCCGAACGTTATGCTGTTTTGTTCCCAACAGTCCTGTGGTGTTGGGTCCTCGTTTTGAAGAGACAGCGCCCCGCGTCTCCCACCCGCTGCCTTTCCCCCCCTTCCTCCCTCCTCCCATTCCTGCCTCTGTCCTCCACGTGTCAACCATTTCGGCACACCCCTCACGCGTTTCGTGGCCCCATGGGGAGCTCCACCTAAGGCCCCATTGGCTGCGGCCGCATGCGCCCCCGCCACCAATTTCGGCACACCCCTCGCACGTTTCGTGGCCCCATGGGGAGCCCCACCTACGGCCCCAGTGGCTGCGGCCGCATGTGTCCCCGCCACAAATTTCGGCACACCCCTCGCACGTTTCGTGGCCCCATGGGCAGCCCCACCTACGGCCCCAGTGGCTGCGGCCGCATGCGCCCCCGCCACCCAATTCAGCACACCCCTCACACGCTTCGTGACCCTATGGGGGGCTCCGCCTAAGGCCCCACGGGCTGCGGCCACATGCGTCCCCAGCACTTTTTTCGGCACACCCCTCACACGTTTCGTGGCCTCATAATGGGCCCCACCTAACGCCCGAATGGCTGCGGCCGCGTGCCTCCCCGCCCGCCATGTTGGCACACCCCTCACACGTTTCGTGGCCCCATCGAGAGCTCCACCTAAGGCCATAATGGTTGCGGCCGCATGCGCCCCCGCGCACCATTCCGACATCTCCCTGTTTACAATAATTTTAGCGCTCTCGCCTTTTTCGGATTTCCGACGCTCCAAGACGGCCCCGTAGGTACCCAAGATCGCCCAATGCGGTCCAAGAGGCCCCAAGATGCACGCAAGCAAGAGGGGCCCAAAGACGGCCCAAGAGGCCCCCAAGACGGCCCCATAGACATCCAAGACGGCCCTGAAGCTCCATGGATGACACACGGCTGCCCAGAAAAGGCCCCAAGACGGCCTCCGAAGGCCACGAGGTCCCTTCGAGGCCACCAGAGGCCCCCGAATGCCCCCAAGAGGCCCCAGGAAGTCCCCAAGATGTTCAAGGAGGCCCCCCAGATGCATCCAAGAAGCTCCTAGGCAGCCCCCAAAGGGCCTCAAAAGGCCTGGTCGACGTCTCAGGAATAGTGTTCTGGCAAGATTTAAGATTGTCAGGGCACAACAGTGTGCTGATCCGCAGCGCTGAAATTCCACAAATTGTTTCCTGGCGCGATCCGAAATTTCAGGACGCAGCGGTCACGTTGATTCGTAACGTTGGAGTCCTAGGACTAGCGTTCTGGAACGATTGGGGGCTCGCAAACGTTTGTCTGCCAGTCGGGAATTTTCGCAATGCAACCATATTCTGGTAGGGTCCTGTGAAGAGGGAACTTGGAGGGAGGGTTTATTGCAGCATCGTTTACGCGTCTTTGGTTTGCACTGCTCCTCCTCCTCGCCCTCCTTCTCCCCCCTCTCCTCTTTTCTTTGTCTTCATTTCCCAAGTGCTTCCCAGATATGGGGTTCCTCAGCGGCTGGGGAAACGCATAATCCAATGGCTTGGCCAGACTTCGGCCCAACATTTGGCCGCATGGGCGTTTCCAGAAGGCAGGGTGTGGCGGTGGTTCGCCGCATGCGTCTGGAATACGCCCTGAGCCATGCGGTGTACACGCCGCACGAAGCGCCCACAGCGTCCTCCAGCGCGGCGGCTCCAGCACGCTTGCAGAGGTCGACGACTGTGCACTGGCATGTCAACGTGTTCTCGTCCTCTACGAAGAACTGTACGGCACTCGTGATTTCATGCACAGCAGGCCGCACTCTGTCGCGCCAACGCCGCAGGGTCATCTGAATCAGCGCTGGTAACACAATCGTCCATAAGATGCCGATGGCGACACCAAAGACGCGCAAAACGCGGAATGTGGGGTTGTACATGGAGCACTGCTCCTGATAACCGAGCGCGACCAGGTACGACTCGTCGTCCTCGAAATCGCTGTCGCACAGGAAGAGCTGCGCAACGCTGGCGATGGCGCCCGCCCAGGTTGCGGATATCACCACGCTGGCGGTCCGAATCTGCAGGCGCACTGCCTCCACTGGAAAGCCCCCCTGTGCGAAGACCACCAGAGCGAGCGACATCCGCCACCGTGCCCCCTGGCACGATGGGGCGTGCTAGAATTAGGTCGGGCCTGCCCCCCCACAGGGGGATTTTGGACGAAAAATAAAACATATTCAACACATGCTCAAAATAAGCAAAAATACTAAAAGAATAGTCTCCAGACTATTTTTGACTATTTTTGAATATCCCTCCCGTGCAGGGACAGGCCAGACTTAATGGTAGAATGCTATGTGCTGCGTGGTAGGGTACACCCCCTCTTCCCGAGGCCACGCTCCCTCGTTCCCAGATGCCTCGAAGACTCCCCAATCTCACTTCACTACGGGCCACTTTGACTTTCAAACGGCCCGAGGTGGCTTCAAAACTGCCCACGAGGCTCTCGAGGCGTCCCACGAGATCCCCAAAAGCCTTCCCAAGAGGGCCTCGAGAGGCACAAATCATTGATTTTCCTCAGGTGCCCCAATGTTTTTTCAGGTTCTCGTCTTTTCGAGCTTTCCGACCTCCCAAAACGACCCAAGAGGCCACCAAGAATGCCTCAAGATGGCTCAAGGGGCCCCCAAGAGGGCCCACGAGTGCTTCAAGACGGCCCAAGAGGCGCCCGAAATGGCCCCAACAAGGGCCCAAGAGGATGAACACGAACCGACAATTCGAGCCTTCTGCCCCAAGAGGGCGCAGGAGGCTCCTAAGAGGGTCGAAAGATGCATCCAAGGGGCGAGAAACAAATCCCCGGCATAATGGCTTAATTCCCGGCAGAGGGGTGCAATCGTCGGACGCCAGTTTCAACATGACCTCAACGTTAGTGTGAAGCATTGTTGTGGTACTGTCCCTAAGCCTTTCGAGAAACCTCTCGGGCCTCCCGAGAGGCCTCTTGGGCCTCCCGGAAAGCCTCTTGAATCTCGAGAGGAACCTCTCGGGCCTTCCGACAAACCTCGCGGGCCTCCCGAGAGACCTCTTACCACCTGCTGGATTAAAAAGTGCGGACCGCATTCGAGGACTTCGACGCACCCATACCCTCTCACGCGCAGATCCTCTCATCGTCAATCGGCATGGTCAGATTCACTCATATCTGCGCGTGCTCGCGCGCAGACTGATGGACGCAGTGTCGGCGCGCTGGTGCACGCGCGAGCTGAACGCGGAGGTCCGGCGCGGCATCTGAATTTTCTGGCGACAGCTGATTGGGCGATACATGTGGCTGCGAGGAAGTCACCAGCGGAATCGTTAACTTCTGCCCGCATGCATCGGGTCCATAAATCATGATATCGAGAATTCCCCGAGCGAAATCACCATTCTCTGGTCGCTGGAAATTGAACCGGATAATTTTTCCCGCAGATCTCCTAGGCGAAATCGCCATTGTCCGGTCGCCAGAGAAATTCTCCGGTTGCACCGAAAAGCTACCGGAAAGTTTTTTGGGAGGACGTATTGGGCGGAATCGCGATTCTCTGGTCATCACCAAATTTGGCGATTGTAATAATAAGGGCGAGGGTGGAGGAACCGGAGAATCGCGATCCCGCTCGATACGTCCTCCAAAAACACTCTCCGGTCGCCTTCCTGAGCGACCGGAGAACCCCTGGGCTGGTCTCTGCAACATTGTCCTGGGGCCTAGCGGGGTGATAATGGCGCATCTTGCGCGGCCTCTCTGGTCCGCACTTTTCAATCCAGCGGGTTGGAGGCCGCCCGAGAAACCTCTTGGGCCTTCCGAGAAACCTCTTGGGCCTTCGCGGAAGCCTCTTGGGCCTTCTGGGAGGCCATGGGCATCCCGAAGGGCTTCTTGGGCCTTCCGAGAAACCTCTTGGTCCTTCCGAAAAACCTCTTGGGCCTTCCGAAGAGCCGCTTGGGCCTTCCAAGAAGCCTCTTGGGCCTCCCGAGAGGCCTCTTGGGTCTGCCAAGAAGCATCATGGGCCTTCCGAGATGCCTTTTTTGGGCCCTCGGGGAGGCCTCTTGGGTCTGCCGAGAAACTCCTGGGGCATCCCGAGAGACCTCTTGGGCCTCCCGGAAAGCCTCTTCGGCGTACCAGGATGCCTCTTGGGCCTCCCGACAGGCCTCTTGGGCCTCCTGGGAGAAATCTTGAGCCTTCGGAAAAGCGTCGTGGGCCGTCCGGGAAGCCTCTCGGGCCTCCCGAGAGGTTTGTTGGTGGGCCTTGCGAGAAGCGTCTTGGACATTCCGAAAAACCTCTCGGACCTCCCGAGAAGCCTCTTGGGCCTTCCGAGAAGCCTCTTGGGCCTTCCGAGGTGCCTCTTGGGCCTTCTGAGAGACGTCTTGGGCCTCCCGAGAGACCTCTTGGATCTTCCAGGAAGCCTCGTGAACCCTCCGAGAATCATCTGGGACCTTCCGAGAGGCCCCTCGGGCCTTCCGAAAGTCCTCTTGGGCCTTCCGAGAGACGTCTTGAGCTTCCCGAGAGGCCGACACGTCTCTTGGGCCTTCCGAGAGGCCCCTATGGCCTTCCGAAAGACCTCTCGGGCCTCCCGAGAAGCCTCTTGGATTCTCCGAAAAGGCCCTTGGGCCTTTCGAGGCCTGCCAAAAGGCCTCTCGGATCTTCCGACGGGATCTCTTGGGCCTTCCGTGAGGCCCCTCGGGCCTTCCGAGAAGCCTCTTAGGCCTCCCGAGAAGCCTCTTGGGCCTCCCAAGAGGCCTCCGCTGATGATGATGGTGATGATGCTGGTGGTAATGATGAAGGTGCTGATGTTGATGAGGTGTAGGATGGTAATGGGGAGGAGCACGATGAGGATGAGTACGAGGATGGCGATGGTGATTATGAGGACGGCAAGGATGATGATCGCGGCGCAGTTTGTGATGGTGGTGGGATGCCAGGAGGGAGGGACGGTTCGGCCATTCCCGTCCCTCCTCGCCTTGTTCCCCCAGTAGAGCGGACCATGCCTTTCCAATGATAGACTATCACAAAAGAGCGGGCGAACGTGACGCGAAACCCTGCGCTCAGGAACATCGTCTTAAGAGGAGGAGGAGGAGGAGGAGGAGGAGGAGGAGGACGAGGAGGAGGACAAGCATGAGGAGGAGGAGGCGGAGGAGGAGGAGGAGGAGGAGGAGGAGGAGGTGGGGGCGGGGAGGAAGAAAATGAGGAGGATGGAAAATCGCTTTTTTGTTGTTCTTGGTAATGCTGATGCTGTTGTTGGTTGATGCTGGTGAAGAAGATGTTGTTGATGCTCAAGCTGGCGAATCATATCTAGTCGCCTGCCCGGGTTGTGGGTCAGAGGCCTCTTGGTTGCCTGTTGGGGTCTCGTGGGAAGCCTTTCAGCGGGCCTCTGTGATGCACTTGTGAGGCTTGCTGGAACCCTGTAGGCCCGCTCGGAGGACGTCTGGGGGCTCTTCTGGGGGCCTTTGGGGCGTCTTGGGGCCTCCTGGGCACCTTTGCCAAGCCCGCTGGCGGTCTCGGGGATCCCGCTGGGCGGGCGCTCATTGGCGCCTTTTGGGGACTCTTGGGGCCCTTTCAGGCCATCTTGAGTCCACCTCGGGGGCCTCCTGGACAGTCTTCGGGCGATCTTGTGCGCGTCTTGGGTCGTTTGGGGCGGTATGAGGGCCGATAACGGCGAACATGCTAAACATGCGCACTCTTCCACGGGAAACGCCGTTTGCCTCTTGCAGCGGTGTAGGAATCCAGCGGGCACATCGCGCTCCTACAACGGACGAGCGTCCGTGGACGGATTGTGTGTACACGCATATATATATATATATATATATATATATATTTACATAGATAGATAGACATATATACATATATAGACATACATATAGATGGTATATATAGATGGATATATATATATATGTATCGACATATCTATACACACAGACATATATATATGTATATAGAAACAAACATCTATACGTATATGTATATGTATATATATATATATAGATGTATACATACACCACCTACATCACACGTATATTAGCCAGCATTGGCTCCACACATATAGGACGACTTAAATCCATGAGTCAGCAAGATCGAGCATGCTTGTAATCCGCAGCTCAGCAAGCAAACACGCGTGCAAGCAAACGCGCAAGCAAGCACGCAAACAAGCAAGCAAGCAAACGTGCAAGCGCGCAAGCAAGCAAGCAAGCGCGCAAGCAAGCAAGCAATCAGACATAAGGTGGGTGCCATTGGAAACAGGGAGGAGGCATAAGCATAGACATAGGCCTAATCATAGGAATTAGGGGGGCATAGGAAGTATGGGGGGGGCAACGGACCAATTAGTAGGGTTTGACTTCGATCTCCTATAAGGCAAACCTATTTGGATACTATCAGTCAATCTACTAGTCGGGTGTAGCAACTTACCATGCAACGCTTCCAATTGCCCCTGAAAATTTGAGGTTTGGTCCTGTGTGTTGGGTACCTGGCACAAGGCCACAATCTTATGCCACATACATCAACGCGAACTTGAGCCGCAGAGCCGTGTTGAATGACGTTGTAACTTTACGATGGTATACGTGGGTACATCAGGTGTGGTTAAACCACGCCGTTCGATCTCATTCACACAGACCGCAGCTCGTGGAGTTCAGCTCAAATCAAGTAAACAATACCTGGGCCCCCTCGTGGACTCCTCTTGGCTTTACTCATGGCATCGCCACGGCATGCAACTAATGCGCGGCTGCCAATGCTCGCACAAAGACGACTTCAACGGACCTCCAATAGGAAGACATCGTCTTATCCTGATCGAATGCAAATGGGAAACTAATTCGGTACTTCTGGGAACCCAATCGCTTGGAACCCTCTTGTATCCCACACGATCCCATTAGGAACTCAACCGGGTCTGGGAATTAGTCGTGGTGGATGCCGAGAGGGACCACTTCAATATCCCAGTTGGACTCCAATTTGCAGAGAGCTTTGGATTACAATTGGCTTCCTATAGTGTGCGGGTAGGAATCCAATAGGAAAAGATCCGACTGGATACCGACGGGACCCCAATCGGAACCCGATTGGATTCCAGTCGGAGAGATACGATTGTATTCCCACTGGAGCCCAATCGGGTATAGAATAGGATCTCTACTGGTTTCGACGAAGACCCCACTTGGAATGCAGTAGTCGTGTCTCAATCCAATAATCAGATGTCGTCAGCATTCCGTCCGAGAGAATCTTCTCGCATTCCGATCGGATCGCCGTGTGCCCCACGAGGAACTCAATTTGATTCCCAGGAGGACTACCATTATGAGGATGACAATATCTATAACCCTGTTTGGTTCAGTCCCTGACAGGAGATGTTCTCAGTCCAATGTGCTTACCCGAAACACTCGCGTGAGCATTCTGAGCTCGAGAATTTCCTTTGCATTTGACATGTAATTCGAGTGAGTGGATGCCCGGGATTGAACCATTCTGCCAGGGATTGAACCTGCTTCCGGGGATTAAAACATTCGTGTCCTCCTCTTCTCGAACTTCCGACGCTCCCAACTGGCCCAAGAGGCCCCCAAGACTGCCCCACCACGTTTCAAGAGGCCCCCAAGAGGGCTTCAAGACGGCCCAAGAGGCGCCCAAGACGGCCCCAAGAAGGGCACAAGAGTGGGAACACGAACCACGCATTCCAGCCTTCTGTCCCAAGAGGCCCTCTTGCCTTCTCGAGTAGTTGCCACCCAGAATGCTGCGCTGGCACGGTGGCGGAATTGCTGGAGGCAATTGGATAATGATGAAAAGGAAGGGCCAGAGCGGGCTCAAAACAAGCTGCAACATCTGTGAAGTTTGGAAAGTCAACAAACAATCCAAGCGGAATATGTGTGTGAAAACGCTGCTGTCCAACACGCACCACTTGAAAACCACCGGCATCAATGTTTGCGCTGTGGTCCCGAGTTTCCCAAACAAGCCGTAGAGCTGACAGATCAAGAATACCACCAACACCTTTGGCATGATCAAGCGGGGCAAACCGCTGAATTCCCCTGGGGGCTGCGATGGGCTCGAAATGCACGCTTTCAATTTAGATCCACATAACCGGCTAACAACAAGCCCAGCAATGACGAGAATGGAAAGCATAACTACCCACAAAATCTTGGCGTGTGTATCCAACTTGCGGCATTTTGCACAAACGAATGGCTGTACCAAAAAAAAGCCAGGCGCACACTCGGCGCATTTCCGGCCCAAGTAACCCATTGTGCATTGACTGTCGAATCGTCCGCCTTGACAAGCGTCAGGGTTCGAGCACGGGACAACTACACGAGAAGCCTGCCCACCACGCCACGTTCCTGCATACGTCTGCGCAGTCTCCAGAGTCACATTCTCTATGTCGCACTTCAGACGGAGATCCGAGCAAGGTTCGCAAGTATGGCCTCTGTCGAAGGAGGCAGCCAGAAAGCCACGCTTGCAAACGCAATCCTTCTCCAAAGAACTCCCCACTGAGAATGTAGTCAATGCCTCTCCTGGGCACGGCGCGCAAATCTGGGTCGTCGCGTTTTCAGGATCGCTAGCTGCTGGCTTGAACTTACCCTGGGCGCAAGGATCACATGACCACTCCCCGTGAGTGCCGCGGTCCACCTTCCACTCAGCGCTGTAGCCAGATTCGCATGCTTGGCAATTAGTGGGCAAACCGTGGAACCCTTTTCGACACCGGCACTGCTGGGGTGCTGCTTTCAGTACCGTGGCTGCGTCGATGTCCACAACGCCCTTCCCCTGGTGGCTTGTCCGACTGAAGCCGTAGCATTCAAATGCTGCCGAGGCGTCTGTCAAAGGCAACAACCGCCTTTCCGATTGCAGAGCAGGTTCGCCGTTTGCGCTCATGAGGCTATACGTCAGATTTAACCTTTGGTTGCCACCCAAACGCAGAATCGGGACGTCCCTGAAAACTTCGCGGTCAATCTTGCCAATGTAATTATTCCTGACGTCGATCTCAATCCACCCAGGCCCTGTGGGACCACCAGCCTGTTAAGACAACTGGTGTGTCGGCATGTCTTTTTGTTTGTTGGTTGTCGTTGTGTAGTTTCACTTTCCTGGTTTTGTAGAGTAGCAGGGAGACCCCCTGTCGCATCGCGCCCAACACGCGTTCGTGTTTTGTCCAAGCCAAGCAGTTCCAAGGGAAGAGTTCCATGCCCCCATGGGGCCGCTAGGTGTTCTGAAAGTGCCTGTACTGTACATTCCACTTTTCGCTCTGGACTCTACCAGGACGAACCAACGAATCAACACCACAGAAAAATGGATGTCAAGCAAGCGGCATTGCGATATCTGCACAACGGGAACACGCATCGACGGCGGGAACACAACTGGCAAATGGGCCACAAGCGAATCCCGCACCACTAAAAAGTAGCACAGCCGCAACCAAGAGGTGGGACACGCGTCGGTCGCGAAGGGGGGGGGGAAGCCCCAGCGCGGATCCTCGTCTAAGCCCATAAGCCCCCTCGCGCCACGCCCCCTTCCCCCCCAAGCGCCCCCCCGCCCGGTCACGCAACTGGGCGTGGGGAGAAAGAACGCGGCAAATTCGCCCGGCCCGCCCATCTGTCAGCATCCCCCCCCGTCCCCCCAGCATGGCTTCAAACTTTCCCCCCGGGTGGGCCCAATGATTCCCGACCCGTCCAGAACCCTAGAGACGCAGGATCCCCACCGCCAGAACAATTGATGGCTTGCACTGGGGCGCCATTCTCCCTTGAAAAATGCAACTGCTCCTGGCTCGGTGGGCACCGATCCTTCGTAGGGTGCAGGCCTTCGCGCAACCTGCTCCAGTGCGAGGGAAAGCGTTGCTGCAGCTGGTGCTGCTGCGTGCTGGGCTGCTTACTGCCAATTGGGCATAACTTTGCGCTGCTTTGGGACTAGATCGGGCCCTTTCATGTGCGTTTTCCAACCTTTTAGGGCCAGTTGTGCTGTCAGAGGCCCTTCTAGCTGCGCTGGGGCTGTTCGAAAATGTTTGGAGCCTTTCTCAAGGTCACTTTGGGTCGCCTTGGAAATCCGTCTTGGGGACTATGGGCCCTCTTGCTTTGTCGAAAGGTCTCGAGGCCCTTTTGGGGATCTCTTGGTTCGTCTTGGCTCTTCCTGTGCCATCTTAAGCCTCTGAAGCAATCTTGGGTTGCTCCGAAAGACCACTTGGGCTGTCTTGGGGTTCTCTTGGAGCCTCTCGTAAAGGTCATCCTCTTGGCACCTCTTGGAACACATGGGGACCTCTTCGAGGCCTCTTCGGCCGTCCTGAGGCCTTCCTCGGTCATCTTGGGCCGTCTGACGCCTGACGTCCAAAGAACACATTTGAGAAACCTGTTTCGGATACAACGGGAAGCGCTGCTGCTTGATTCGCTCGCTGCCGTTGCTGCTGCTTGCTGCCGGTGGCGGCAGCTGGCTGCCGTTTAGTGCTGCTGCGCATTGCTGGTTGCCAATGTTTGCGGCTGTATGCTGCAGCTTGATGCCGCTTGGGCCTCTCTTTGGGACTTCGCGTGCGTTTATGTCGGCCTCGCCTGGTCTGTTGATCAGCATCGGGGTCCTATGACTGGGGGCCTCTTGCGGGCCGTCTTCGGGGTCTCTTCGGGGCCTCTTGGGCTGTCTTGGGCATTCTCTGGGCTCTGGGGGCTCTCTGGGGCCGTGTTGAGGTTCTCTTGGGCCGTCGTGGGCCCCACTGGAGGCTCTTTGGGACTTCTTGATGCCATCTTGGGCAATCTCGGAGCTGTCCGAAGGCCTCTTGGAGGCATGCTGAGCCGAATGCCCGAATCAACTAAACGTATTGGGAACAGGCTGAGGGATTTTATGATGTTGGCTGTCTCGGGCATCTCCACTCGAGGATGGTGTTCTTGGCGCGCCGATGACGTCAACACCAATCCATTCTCCCTCTGGGACCGCGCCCCCAGCTCCAGTCCATGGCGTACCTTGTCCTGTGCAAGATCTTCGGCACCGCCCGTATTCGGAGCCCTCCGGCCGCCTGAGGCTCCGCCCGCCCGCGCTCTGTCTCCCCAATTAGGGCTACTCGCGTCCCGTTTAGCTCTTGACCAGAAGGGGCCTGCCTCCCGACCCGCAGACCAAAAACTGTCTCGGGCATCTCTTTGCGCTCTAAACCTCTCCAGGAGCGGGGCCCATTGGAGCATTGGACTCGCCTGGAAACCAGCAGGGTCGCCCTGAGAAGCCCCTCGGGTAATCCTAGGACGCCTGGGCGGCTCCTTGGGGCTCCTCTCGAGCTTGCGCCTCTTTGAGCACAAACAAACTACTAGCGTAGACAGATTTCGGGCACGGCGGGAAGCGCTGCTACTTGAGCCGACTGCTACAGTGGGGGCTCGGCCACAAGAAACCTCCGCAAGAAACCCAACCCTGAAATCCGCGATTTGTTCAATGAAAATCCAAAGTTGTCGATCGAACATCGTCAAGATCTTATGGGGGGCCATCGAAATCCAAGAAACCCAAGGCACCCTGGCAAAATCCAACTGGTTTCTTGGCACGCGCCCCCACTGTACTTTTGCTGCATTTTACTACCGTCTGCGTCTACTGCTTGCTTGGTGGTGGCTGCTGCAACTCTCTCTTGGCCTACCGTGTGGTGAACATAGGGGGGTGTCTGCCACGCAAGCGGTCGCGGCGGTTCGCTGGGGGCGCCTTCGATAATCCTATCACACGGGACAGTTCTAGTGAAGCGCCAACATGTGTATGATAAGTACCCTTCCATCTTGTTGTCCGACAGTAGGATGTATTTGATGCTCGGAGTGCCATAGATTGTCGATGGGCCAGTGAAATTATTCCCACTTGCGTCAAACTCTCTAAGCCGATCGAAAAACTTGAGCGATAGTATTTCTGCCTTCTGGAACATGTTGTGACTCAAATCGATGACTTCAAAACGCGCAACTGGCCCATTTACCTTATCAGAAAAGTCGACGACACCGGTCAACTTGTTGTGACTGAGATCCAAACTTCGCAAAGCGAGCATTCTTTCGCTGATCCGTTCGAAGGGGCATGGTCCAGAAAGATCGTTGCGTCTCAAATCCAAGTGGATCAGGTGGTCCATCAAAGTCAATTCGTCTGGGATTTTGCCAGACAAGTTCTCATGTGGGAAACTCATGGTTGTAACCCTGCCGTGATCACAATCCAGGTGCTTGCCAAGACTTCGGCAGACTGAATGCCACTGACAATACCAATCACCCTTGCTGCCACAACGATGCGGGGCCCACTGGTGCAACATGCACGAAGCTATCCGCAAGTCGGAGTCTGCGTATTCAACGCGTTCGCAATCAACCTGTGCATCGCAATCCTTTCTGCCGCAAGTCGCGCTCGCCACCTGTACATCACAACCGCCACTAAAAGTACACTCGGCGCCAGACGTTGAACACGGATCTGTTACGAACTCGATTCGGATGGTGCACGGAGGGCCAGGGCCTACCCCGAGCTGAGCCTCTAGAGTGTCTCTTTGAGACGCGTTCGGAGCGTTCAGCGTGCCACAGGAACCCCTATAACACAATTCGAGGATGTCGTTGTCGTTGTCGTTAACATAGAAATACCTATTACTGGAAACGAACCACCGGCCCACTACGGTGAACTCATCACGGTGCGCAATTATATCGGCGCCCCAGAGAAGTACCCCGATATTGCGGAAATTGCAAACCAAAACGGGGCCAACCCGCCGGAAGCGTACAACCATATCTGGCTCCTCTCCAAAGAAATGGCTTGCAGTGCCCTGAAACCACCCGGACTCTTGGGAGCAGTATGCGATCCAATGATTGGATCCGTCTTCCCAATAAATCTCAAGCTGGTTGTGACCGCGGTACTTCAAGTGAAATGTTCGAGACGCCGCACGCCATATCCCATCAAATCCAGTAAGAAAGCGGACGTCGCCATTTGCTCCAATGATTTGCTGTTGACTGACTGGCAAAAGCGCGCTCCGAAGCCCTCCGTAAACACTGTTCTGGTCTTGGTTCATCGTAAATTTGCCCAGGGCGTTTTCTTAGCGTTTGTAGCTCGGCGTCTTGCATACCACTTTTTTTAGCGTCAAGTCTTAAACAAAAACTGAACACGCCCAAACAATGATGCTTTGTTTTAGCGTTTCTGTTTTTTTGGCGTTTTCAGATCCGTGGATTGCGCGTTTCCTTTTCATTGCGTATCCCTATCTTCTTTATGCAAACTTGCTTTTCTGTGGCCATCGCTTCTTTATACACGCTTGCTTCGTCGCGGAAGCCCGCCCTCACCTTCCCCCCTGCTGCCACCCCCCTTCCGGTGTTGGACCGGCGTCAAAGTTTTTTCTGTTGTTGGGGGCGTTTTTAGGTCTCCGCGCGGTGGGAGGGGGAGGGGGAGGGGGAGGAAGGGGAGGGGGAGGGCGTTTTTTTTGTCGTGGGGGGCCCCTGGAGGAGGAGGGGGAGGGGGAGGAGGGCAAGTTAGGTGCGCTCGCGTCAACATCTAACATCCTACCCCTCCCTCCCATCCCTTACCATGGCGCTGATTTTCTCTATCCGCGGACGCGTGTCGTAGCGGACCTGTGGCTCCGCGCGCGTGTGCGTAGTGGGTGGTGGTGCGCGTGCGTGCGTGCGTGTGTGCGTGGTTGTGGTTGTTGTGGTGGTGTGTATGTGTGTGTGTGTGTGTGCGTGTGTGCGCGTGTGCTGTGGTGTGACGTGGTGTGGCGTCTTGGTGGTTTGGTGGTGGGCCAGGTGCGTACGTGCGTGATGGCGTGTGGTGGTGGTGGCGGTGGTGTGTGTGTGAATGTGTGTGTGTGTGTCTGTGTGTGTGTGTGTGTGCGTGTGTATGTGTGTGCGTGCGTGTGTATGTGTGTGTGTGTGTGTGTGTGCGTGCGTGCGTGCGTGCGTGCGTGCGTGCGTGCGTGTGTGTCTGTGTGTGCGCGCGTGTGATGTGGTGTGACGCGGTATAGCGTGGTGGTGGTGGGTGGGGTAGTGCGGTGGTGGTGGCGGTGCGCGGTGGTGGTGCGCGTGCGTGCGTGCGTGCGTTGGTGGGTGGAAGTGGCGGTGGGTGTGCGTGCGGCGGGGCGGGGCGTGGTGCGGCGCGGTGGTGGCGGGCGGATGGGCGCGCGAGAAAGAGGCCCGCGCTGGGGCGAGAACGCCATCCTGAACGACGGAGGCAAAACACCGATCCGAAAATGAGGCCCACGCTGCAGCGGGAGCACGATTCGGAACGATTCGGGAGCAGAAATGAGGCCGGAGCCTCAGCGAGAGCAGCATTTTGAAAAAAAACGCAGGCGAAAACCCAACTCCCGCGAATCCTGTGTGTAAAAAATCAGTACGCGGGGGGGGGGGTCGAATATTCCCAGCACGCCATCAGGGGAAGAGGGAGAGTAGTATTCATATTGAGTAATTGTGGAGGGGGAGGGGGAGGGGGAGGAGGAGGAGGGGGAGGAGGGGGAGGGGGAGGGCGTTTTTTATCGTTGGGGGCGTTTTTGTTTTTGTTGTTGTTGTTGTTGTTGGACTCCCCCCGTGCACGCAGCGCATGGCTCAGGGCAGGCGCGTCGAGCTGGGAGAGGAAAGGCGGGGGCAGAGAGTGCGAGTGGTGGCAGAGCGGGGAGCGCGGGAGCCAAGCTGGCAGAGACGACCACGAGGAGCCTTCGACGAGGATACAAACGAGCGCAACAAGACGCTGTACCACAGCGACGAGCCTGAAAACGCCCAAACAACGACCCTAAAAACGCTATCAGCCTGTCAAGAGCCCAAGCTAGAAAGCGCAAACAAAAAAACAAGGCATTTTTAGGATGAACCAAGTTTCTGGCTCCCAAGAGGACATGCGCCCCATAGAGTGTGCGCCAAGAGAGTGAACAGACGTTGGGCCCCCATGTGCGGCTGTAAACTTGCTCGTGCCAAGCCATGGTCTGGGCCCAGCTGGCTCGAGCAAAGCGGCTTGAGCCAAAGGTTACGGAAGTCGGGGAAGGAACCTGTGCGGGGTGCTCAGGCCGAACGCACGTTCTGCCCAGTGACCTCTCGCAGCGGGATTTCGACGGAAGACGTGGGCTGGTCTTCGCCAGGACACTCTTGACCAAATATCGAACCAATCTCACGAATCCCCACGCAATGGTTGAAACGAACCCCGCGCTGGGGGCTGCAATGCAGGGCCCGTGCTCCTACAACCCGCTGGCGGACGAAGGCGACGACGAGTGTACTTTGACTGGACAGGATATGGGGACGATTGAAGAAAGAGGAGGAGCATGAGCATGAGCTCCATGTACCTCTCGTCAATAAAAGCTGAATGCGAGTGTGGAACAATAATTTAGCCTCCTAGGTTTTTGTCCGAAGATGTCACCCCTGTACGCTTGACGTGAGAAGAGACTTCACTCAAGCAGGACACGTTGCCTCGTGCCTGGTGAGGCTGGAATGGCAATTCACGCGACCGGAAGGAAGCATCGGAGGGGAGTGCGTCGTGGACTTCTGCAGGTGGGAAATCTGGTGCCCAACCTGGGTGCCCGACTGGCGTGCTGCCGCCTGCGCCGATCTGCTCCACGAGCCCCCCCTCCTCACCCTCGCTCTCCTGTGGGAGGTGCAGGTCGGACGAAAGGGGGGATCTCGGCGGCGACGATAAGGGCGAATAGCCCAGGGGCGGGCATTACACGCATTCGCCCGGGAGCCTCGCCGAAGGCATAGATCATCGGCGCCCCTGGATACATGTATTGCTCCCCCCGGGCTATTCGCCCCTATCGTCGCCCCTGAGGATCAGCAACGGGGGTGCAAATCAGGGTATCGAGGAAGTGCGCCCGGCGGCGGGGCCGGAGCCAACTGCAAGCGGCAGACTTCGCCAACCCCCCCAGGCCCCCGACGTCATGATTTTTTCATGGCGGCGACCCCGCGAGGTCTGAGCCTAATCCCCAGGAGAGGTTTTTCATCCTGAGTCGTTTTTTCACGGCCCCGAGGCCCGGTAAGGGCCCAAAGGGGCGGAAATTATCGAAAAACATCCCGTCATGATTTTTCCACTGCTCCAGGGGGTCTGGCCCGCCCCCGTCCTCCATCCCCCCCCCCTTCCGTCGGACCCGAGACGAGAGGCGGGGAGGCCGCCGCCGTGCGCGCGAGGAGACCAGGCCTCGCCCGCGCCCCCGGGGGCCGCGAGCCCGGCCCGCTCGCGTACGGCGCGCTCGGTGGGCCGCCTCCGCCTCGCCCCCGAGCTCGAGCGGACAGCCGGGAGCCCAGACGTCCGGCGCCTCCCGACCTCTCCAGGTCAAGCCTTCACTGTGTACACCACGCTATGACGGGGACGGTGAGTGCGACAAGCAGTGCCGGCGATCGCTACCATACCATCCTCCTCCTCCTCCTCCTCCTCCTCCTCCATGTTCTTCTCCTCCTCCTCCTCCTCCTCCATGTTCTCCTCCTCCTCCTCCTCCTGCTCCTCCTCCTCCTCCGCCCGCTTCCTCGGGGCCAGGACCTCAGGCGAGGCGGCGTTCGGCCGGGGGCGGGGCTGCGGAGCGAGCCCCGCTCGAGGACGGCCGGCCCCATCGCCGGCGGGCCGTCCGGAAGCGGTCTGCCTGCGACCCCGCCTCCCCAGACCCCCGACGCCAGGCGTTGTTCACGACGCCGGCCCCCAAGGGCTTCGACCGATTCCGCGGGACCGGCTTGTCCTCCCGAGCCGTTTTTTGACGGTCCCTATAGGCCCAGGGATTGGCCCCGAGAGGCCGAGAACATACGATTTTTGGACCACGTTTGACTCTTAAGCATTTTTTGGGTATTCTTAATTTTTCCAAAATCCGTCTGTATGAGGACATGCTCCCGACCTAAGACTGGGCCAGAGGTGGGGTTGCAGCCTGCGCCACGCGCGAGCCCAATAACACACGAAACAAATTCCGCTGGAACCCGACGTCGTTTTCATTGCAACGCGCGGGGTGCAAGGCCCCCCCCCCCCAAAACGTGCAGAATAACAGAATCTGAGTTTCAAGGTGGTGCCAATTAAGTGGTTCACGAGAATGTCACGCTTTCAGGGAGACGCAGCTACCCAAGTCGCAGGCAAATCGCCCAGCCCAGCCCGCCAGAGAAGGGGAAGGTCGCCCCCAGACCTCCTCGAGCAGTGACAAAAATCACGACGTGAGGTTTTCAACAATTTTCGGCCCCTGGGGGTCCCTCACCAGGCCTCGGGGCCGTCACGAAACGACGCAGGATGAAAAGCCGGTCCTGGGAATCGGTCGAAACCACTGGGGGTCGACGTCATGACAAACTCCTGGCGTCGGGGGTCTGGGCAGGTGAGGTCGCAGGCAGATCGCCCTGGACGGCCCGACGGACAAGGGGAAGGCCGTCCTCGAGCTGGGCTCGCTCCGCAACCCCGCCCCCGGCCGAACGCCGCCTCGCCTGAGGTCCTGGCCCCGGGGAAGCGGGCGGAGGAGGAGGAGGAGGAGGAGGAGGAGGAGAAGAAGGAGGAGGAGGAGGAGGAGGAGAGGAGGAGAAGGACGAGGAGAAGGAGAAGGAGGAGGAGGAGGAGGATAGTCCTTCTTCGGGCCAGGCCTTCTTCGCTCGGTCTCGGGCCCCGGCCCTCGCGGGTCGATCCGCCTCGAGAAGCTGCGCAGACAACTGGGCCGTGGTCGTGACTTCCCGCGGTGCCTCACTTGTTCCGCGCCGGCGGATCTCAGGGCCCACGCCCCTCCAACTGAAGAGGGCGGCAGGACGGGAGGGGCCGGCGCACCATGGGAGGCCTGGCTCAGGGGGGGAAGCGCCGACTTGGAATCGGCGGTGCATCGCCGACAGGTCGGCGATGAGCCCCCGATAGCGAAGCCGCGCCTCCTTGGGCAGGGCAGGCCCCTCCTCGGCGACGCATGGACGATCGGGGCTCGATCACGCTCCTGGGCCAACCTCCCCCTGACGTCCTGCAGGTCTTATCCGACTTTTTTTTTTGGTCCGGGCCAAGATCTCCCGCTCCCTTCCCAGGGGATAGCTTTCCGTCCCAGAGAAGACGAAGCTAGGACGAGGAGAAAATCGGGCGAGGATAAATCGAGAACCTCTGAG